GCAAGCAAATGAATGGAGAAAGTATCATGAGGTCAAGTTAGGTTCAATACAGGTTATCTTGACGAGAGCGTTTCCTCATGGAACCTCACTGTACTATACCACTAAATGATACTGTTGAGTTTTTCAGCAACATTTCATGTATTTTCCTTCATGAAAGTATACTGCGATATCTCGAATATCGTGCCAGCTGAAACATTCGGCAGGTCTTGTGCAGCACAGTCGGCTGAAGAACAGTATAAACGAGATGTTCAGCTGAGATTTCCCGTGAAAACCAAATTCTTGTTCATAGTCACACTACTCTCACTTGAACCGCCGTGTTCCTGTCCTGGCGTAATTATTCCGGGTAGCCCACACCAAAGAGAAGCACCGGACTCGAGTTTCGCTCCTATTAGAGCTCATCAGCAGTGCATATCCAATGGCCGTGCCGGGATTTGAACCCCGGACACCTGACATGCGAGGCGAGCGTGTAGCCACTGCTCCACCAACGCACATTGGACGCATCTGAATTATCATGTCTGAACAGGCGAACGTGTTCACACTTCAGCGATGTGATTGGTGTGTCCGACTGATCGAACGACGACCCAGTAACTGTCCTGGTTGTGACAGTCGATTGACGCGCCAGTCAGGACCAAACCAAACTCGTATGCAAATGAGTGGGTGTATTTGTCGAACTGCACTGTACGCTTTGTGAATCAGGTGGATCAATTTCATTTGCGTGCAAGTGTTCTGAACGGTCTATACGACGGTCAAAAACGGAAAACTTCAAATGGAGTTGAAGAAGTAAGGTTTCCGCCATTTCTCATAGACTTGTGTGGTGGCAGAGAAATTTGTATTTATGAACTCCGTGAAAGCTCCTGATCAGTGCAGGTGTGGATACTTTCCGGTCCTACGAAATCTGCTTTAAAGTGGTATACCACTATTTTTTTAACGAAACGCTTGAATTCAGATTGTGTCCGAGGGCAAATTGAGGTTGGACCACAGAGACTCATACAGTGCAAACTGCACCGGTTGATGCTATTAAGATCCTTCCTCAACCAGATTCCCGATCACATATTACGCAGTAGTCGGTCGTTTTTGCCTTTCTTCCGACGTAATTTTCTGTGCTCTGGTGATCCGTATGGCTGTGTGAATGCTAGCTTTCGGACCGTGGAGTTTAGGTTCATTTGCGCAAACCTAAAAGACGGGAGAAGCAGGCGAGTTTGGGTTCCCTTGTAGTGCCACGTCGTTTTGTTGATCTGTTGCTTAATATGGCAGAGTCACAACGAAGACAATGAGTAATTGCTCTGGACGACCCTCGTTTGGTGTCGAACGTCAACGTTGTGGCATTCAGCCTTGGTATTTAAACGATAAATACATGGGGCAGCAGATCGGAGCAAATACCTACGTCTTGAACGGATCGGTGATGATTGAAGAGCTGTGTGCACCACAGTTTACTGGTGTTCTCGTTCTGTCTCAACTAGAGGACGAACAGCATATGGCCATGGGTAGGGTAGTTTACGATGAGCTTCGATGATAGTCCTCCATCTGAATGCGATTGCTTGCGAACAACTCGGTTACTATCTGCATTCGATATGTCAACCACATAGTTGGAAAGTAATGAACAGCATTGTCGACCGGGCTTGGGAAAGGTGTGTAGTTCCGTAATAAACTGCCTACTTGATGGCCCCGGAATTGAAATCCCAAATATTGGATTGCCTCGGAATCAACTGAGCCCTGCGTGTTGTAGAATCAGGGGAAAGCAGGCCTTACGTGCTGTTCCCCCGTTTGTCGGTTGCTTAGTAAGAAAGTTCTGATAGCGAAGTAAATGAGGGTAGGTGGTATTATGCCGCAGGTTATGAGATTGTTACCTGAGCTGGACAAACGTTTCGTCATCACTTGTGGTAATATCATTAGTATACAGTATGGAGGTGATGCATCGGCTTACCATCGGAAGACTATACCTTTTTGTGACCGATCATTCCTCTTTGTTTCTAGTGTACGCTCCGAACACTTAATGTGGCTTGCTCGGGTCACCACTGGGAAGAGGTGGATCGATTGCATGATCGTCAGTCGTTTATATCAATGCAAACTGGCAACCTTTTCTCCTAAATCAATTGGAGACTTAATTATAAAACACTAGTTTATCACAGTTTGTTGTAGCCAAATTTATCCGTATGGTAGCACTTCACTTCCCAGAAAGAATACGTTTCTCCACCCATCTCAGCATACGGCAAAAATCTGCGATGCCCGGACTTCAAACTCATCAAGAATGCTTTTCTGTATTTTGAACCTCTAACCACCCTCCTACATTCCGTAAATACTTCCTAGACATAAGTAAACCCTAGAGAGATTACCTTTGGGATAAACCTATTGACGATCGATAGGTGGATTTGAGTAAAGACTGAGATGATGATACTGAGGGAGGATAGGAACTACGTTGACTTATACCGCATCATAAGGCCTTGACAACTCTTCAGAAGGCGATTTAAAGTGTGATGCATTTTCCAGTAGATGGTTCTGAAGTCTTCCTAGATTGCAGAGACTTCTGCTCCATTTTACTTGGTGTTTACATTTAAAAATCTAAAGACATTTCAGCGTGAGACCCCATCAAGTCAATTTACTATGATGTTTATGGTGCTCAGGTGTACCAGGGAATTTCTTAGAAATTTAGATATTTCAAATTAAAATCCATGGGTACAAACTGTAGGTTGCATATTACTGGAGAACACCTCTCCATTACTAAGGAGCTATCGGGCGTTGCGTCGTCCTATTTTCACATCCCATTGCCTTCAATCCGGACTGTAGCTTAACAGAATGGTGTTGTGCGCATGACGCAGGTTTACTTGCGGGTCATTACCATGCCAACATAGTGTGCAATAAATGAGCGATATTTATAATATTGAGACTTTTTCGAATTCAAAGATTTCGTACTAAAAGCTTGCCTTGTTCGCTCAAGTTAACCTATGTTAAGACCTGGGAAGTGCCACTGCCTGTTTCATCTTTCCTAAATGTTATCAGAAGTGCGCACCACTTGAAGATGCCGTCCTATGCAGAACGTGAACACTTTCCGAGGTCTAAGACGACTAATCCTCAGTATATGCATTTAACAACCGCCTATTTATGAGACGGATCTAAAGAGGACGAGAGTAGTTTTTTTTTGGATATAAGCGACTAATCAAGTTACAGTGTTTTATGAGTTTATTTTTGACCTTTAGTGATGCTGCCATACCGAAAAACGAATTTTCTGAGTGAATGACTTGTTGATTGTGAAAAATTACAAATCACTGGTAACATTCTGTTTTTTGTTACATGAAAAAATTGAAGAGAAAATGACAAAACCATCGTAGACATTGAAATACTCTAAAGTCTTCTCCTTTCTTGACCGTTTTTGACTGACACAACGAATTTGTCTCGTTTTCTACAATAATACCACCGAAAGGAACATAAGGCCAAAATTGGGAGGTTACTTTGCTTTAGGATATTCGCTTTGCAAAGTTCTGTTTACTAGGTCGCCGCTAACAAGAGCAATGTAGTGAACTCTCTGGGTGAAATACTGCGTTAGTATTTAAGCTCCATTCAACACATCAAATTATTGTTGCCTTTTCTCTTCAGACTGAGTATGCTTGACTCTCTATTTTTAGATAAGTCAGTAAAAGATGTACCACATGCCAGTACCTAGGAAGCTAAAGTCTCATCAATTACTGTGCTTGTTTCGATTGGACCAAGGGTCTTGAAGCGCAGTGTTTTTCGTAGAATTCTTTTGGTCGATCAACACTTTGATTCATCCACACAACTAGCATTCTTCCAGGGCGTTCCGATGTTGCAGACTATTCCTACTGTGATCAGTATGTATTTATTGTCTTGAGTTATTGCTGTAAAACTGAGGCAATCCATTATCTGCGGTCCAAGTCGTAGTATTATGTATCACTATGCATGCTTCATTTCAGCTGCTTGACACGTGCCTCAGAAAATCGAAAGAGGTGTGGTTTGGAATGTGGTGAGAGACTCACCAAATACGTGTCAAGACAGTTGCATAACTAAATTGGGAACCTAGTGTGATTTCCGGCAAAAATACACTATCTGTGAGATTGGTAATTACGTCACTCTTGGTTGATAGTCCTCCTTTTGTGCACTTATTCTGTTTGTCGAACACCATAGAGAGAGAGAAAGGAAACGTGAACACGCCTGTCTTGGCGCGATAATTCAGTTGCACCCAGCATGCGCTGGAGAAGCAGCGTTAACGCCCTATCGCATGTAACATGCTCTAGCTTCAAATTTATGCACGACCAAAGATATTAGCTACTACTGACCTATAATGAAAACGAAGACCCTGTGAAGTAATCCCCCTGTCTGCGTAAATTAACCAGCACTTGTGTCAGGATAGGAGAAGGACCTTTCACACGAGGATGATGTGAGTATAAACAACAAAATGGATTACACATCATCGATCACCCACTGTTGATAGCTTGACTTTAGGCGCTAGTCCATGTGTTTATTTGTTCTCACCGACCTGGTCTGTTCATGTCTCCGGATGATTCCGTGCAAAACACGAGAGGCAAGGGATCACCTGGGAAACGGTCATCATACCAATGTACTGGCAACAAACAGCGCGTGGTGCTCGCCAGCTGAGACTTGATTTCAAGCAGCAAGTATCATTTACAGACAAATAAGATCAATCACTACATATGTACGTGTTGCTATAGTTGAGCCGATCACCTAACGGTTAGTTCTAGATTCAAACCCGATCTGCACCCTTCGTCCTCAGCCCACGTCTTGGCGCATGGACAACGGCTGCCCCATTCCAATCAAAACACTCCGTTTTGATGACAAATACCCATTTTTATTCATGCTCCCCTTGGCATCCAGATGGTTTCATTCGATAACTTTTGGGCTGATAGGGTATGTAACAATAGTCAAAAGCACGCTGTTATTACTTCCTGTCGGCTGGGTACATTAGAAATTAAGTACACAAGGCTTTTCGAACGCTATCGTTAGCTCTCATTGTTCTTCCTCTCATGCAGGTTTCTCTGCGTTGGCCACAGCAGGCTTCGCGGCTTTCTGGAATTCGCATCACTTTCACATCCTTTCTTCGTCGTCCAGTCTTCATTCCCAGTGGCTAAACGACACTCATGCGGGAACTGCCCTCCTCATTTTAACTCCGCGACTGCTACGAATGAGCACAACTTTTTTCAGTGGCCTGAGTTCCGTGGCTGCCAGTTTTTACGCGCTTTTTTGGCAGTGGGATCCATGTTGCAAATATCAGGTGGCATCCTCGCTGTCCTCGCTTCCCCGTGGTCTCAGGTCAATCATGAATGGTAGTCACAAAAACCCATACCGCTCGTCCAACGGATCACCGACATGCCTTGGAAGCGTTGGAAACAGTCCTAACGGGTCTTCTGGTTTGAGTCAAATGACGGGCAATAACGGTCGAATACGGCCCGTGATCACTGAGAATCCTAGTCATCCTTACGGTCCTCCTCTCCGTCCTGTGGTTCTCATTCACCGTGATGACGGTAGACGGAAGCTGCTTCACAACACTCTGGCTGTATCTTCAACTGTTGTGGCAGTTTATGTGCTCTATCAGTGGTCCCAACCGAGTGCAACTTGAAATGACTGTCTGCTAACACTAGCCAAGAAACCGTGCACTAGATCTCTAGTTATTGTTTCACCACCTTTCGGATGTTGATCATCTACCCACAACAGAGCGACTTACAGGAAGACACAACACAGAAGTGCGAAGCTATTTGAATCCACCTAGTCTGGTTCCCCTTCTAGATTTCCTGCCAGTCCTATTTTATACCCGGCTCCCACATGTAGGCAGACAACCGCATGAGGCTCATCGTACTAGCCGTCATTTGCTTCATCCCTGCCCGTTGTCGTTTATGTTCGATTTTCCATGACGCAATTTCTATTTCGTTTACTGTGCATGTGTCAAGCACGAATATTCACTCAAGGTCGTTGGCTGTTTTTGTTCTGAGTATGGGTTCCGGTGGGGTTTGTCCTGGCAGTTGTATCAGTCACGTGGTCTGTAGTGGCCTCTCCTAAATGCCTGTCAGTTAGCCTCCTGTTCCGTCTGTCCTGATGCGACTAGTCAATGGTTAGTTGATTCATAAGGTGGTCCGTTTCGCGTATTCAATCATGTTACAGACGGTAGACCAGTAGAGTCCCTCTACTATTTGACTTGACCAGATTGTGACTCGAACAGTAGATTTGAAATTGCTAGTTACCTCATATCCTGAGTAAGTGCTGCCTACAGATCTTATTCTTTTCTGACCTAGTAAGCATTGAATTTAAGTGCTCATATGTGCATGTTTATCGCAATAGGTGGGCCTCCCAAGAGAGACGACGGTAAGAAAAATATCAAGGGTCTCCAGGAGGGTGGACATTTGTGAGGTACTTTGCAGTGATCATCGTATGATCATATGATCCGTATGTAACCAAATGGCCCGTTCATAAATCGTGAGTTGTGACCTTGATTCATCCACGTAAACGTCCCTCATAGAGCTAAATTTTAGCGAAATTCCGTAATCGAACCTGAACCAACTCAGTGCTTCTGCTACCGGTATACAGGTCATAACCGAGTTCGTTTTAGCTTACTTGCTGTCAATATTTGAATGTCACGTGGTCTTTCTTCCAAATGACAGCGTTCACTGAAACGCTGTGCCATGGCACGGGATTTCGTTGTTTTCAATCTATCTAAGCAAAATCCAGCCTCTGCCGTTTTTCGACGGCTGTGGCACGTGCCGCACAGTTCAGGAATCAGATGCTCATCAGTCTGAATTACACGCAATCCATCTAAGTACCGTCACATGTATTTAAACTGTACTGAAGAAAATAATGTACAGCAACGTCGTTCTCGACTGATTTGTGTCAAGCGGATGAAAAACTGATATTTTCTGGGAACTACCTAGAAATGTGTTGCGTATCTCATTTATCCACACAGCAACATTTTCCGGTTGCGAGTGATCAGTCCGCCACTTAGCTTCCATAATCAAAATCAACGTAATTGTGCGGCGGTTAGCGCTCTGTATGCGTCGTATTTGACTGACCTAAATGTGCAAAGGCGTCACTCTGCCTATGCCGCTACTGGATGGCCTGTATGTGAAAGTTATAGGTAACTGAATTGGAGATCATGTGCTTTTTTTTAGGTATTCGGCCTCCTTAGCTTCGGTATTTTCTATGGTTTGTTGACGCTTACTTCGGTGTGTTTGTCCCAGAGAGCTCCGTCTTCGAAGTCTTTCTCCCCAAGTGACCCTGCCTTTACTCATAACTGTCTTGGAGATGATTATGACTTTTATCGTAATACTATTGCAACGTGTAGAAGTCTTACCGAACAAAGTTGCGTTTTTGCCGTCGTTTACCTTACTCCCGCATGTATGAACTGTGACAGTCTATAAACATTCACACCAACTATCGTTAACAAGGTGCAAGTCAGATGCACGCATAGAACTGCGGGAACTGGTCGTCATGTCGGACAAAACAATCGTAATAGGTCTCCGGGCTACTCCACGGATGTGAAAAGAATGTGTGGCTTACGTGACCGGATGGGCAATTGTCAGTCGTCTAAGAATGTAGTCTGTCTTGCTGTGACCGTAATCTAGAATATGCGCCGCGTGAGATCGCCACTACCGATGTACCAACTCAGATTCATATGACCGTCAGGAATGAACGTGCTATTGTAGGTGATGAGTTGGCTAGTTTTTTTATGCGACGTAATGAGAGAAAATAGAATCTGCTGATACACCAGCCAATCTTAAAAAGCAAAAAGAAAACAGTTTTTGCAGTACGTGCAGTTCTGTGTTAGTCCTCGATGCTGCTGAAAAACACCCGCACTTTTCACAAGTAAAAAGGACTTCAATATTATTAACTGAAAACATCAAGTTTTATTGGGTTGTACAACGACAAACTCGTTTTCCTCATCAATTATACACCGTTTACTCTCAACGGCTTCATGTTTACACCCTCTCATTCCAAATTATTTCAACTTTCCTACCACCTCATTCGATGTACCACCAATTGGTTATTGCTTTCTATGATGTTCCTAGTGGTTTCAAATGTATTTGTCCAGGTACGCTCGATAAATTGATAAACTTTGCAGCTGTCTTACCAAATCGGGTCTCACCAAGTGCACTCACACTCCATCGTTTTATGGCTTCATTAGCATGCACTTTGTACCCAGTAGGCTGTGAAAATTGTTGAATAAAATCTTGGGGTCGGGTTTTTATTGGTCCATACTGAGTGGTGATTGTTCGAATAGAACTGCAAGTTAACTTGGTTGAAGCACTGGACGTATGCGCACAGTTGGAGGGCAACAATTTACTCGGAGTTTGATATCACGCAGCATCCAGGCCCCTGGCGGTGACGCAGCTCCGAGGGTTTGTGAGACAAGCATGTGAAGTCTTGTTTCAAGCCACCCATTGGCCTAAACATGTAACGAACGAAGGCCGGAATCATAAACTTGCCACTGAAGTGTGGTCGTGAACTTTTACTCTGGTTAGTTTCAGCGTCATGGGGCTCTTCCATCCATCATAGTGCCGTTCTGGGAGTTATCCTTTAGCATACCGCTAGGTGGTTCTAAAAACGGGGTATTGTGTTAATATTTGTGATGTACTACTCATAAGGTTGCTGAAAACCCTTCGACAGCCCACGACCGGTTCCGCCCTTTTCGGGGGTCATCAGATAGGCGCAGTCCCCGGGCTCCCGTCAACCTTATGTTCTACTTGAAACCAAAATGCACGAAATTAGCGAATATACACTCATTTGCAAGCTAGTTTGGTTTTTTCGAGAGACTTACCTGGAACCCAGCTAAACATCTCGTTTGTGATGTTCTCAGGCAACTGAATGTGCTGTACCAGGCCGCCTCATGTTTCAGTCGCTACGATATTCGAGATATCATGATACATGTTGTGTTGTCCAATCGTCAGCTACTTTGCGTCTGTAAAAATTACCCGTCATTGTCAATCTGTCCTTCGAATTCACATTCATGTTAACAGCTTGGTAATTAAATGCAACCCGTAATGCAAATATTTGGAAACGCCTCACTGATGAAGTCTAGTTGAATCTCGGTAAACAAGAGCGTTATCTGTCTAATTTAGATTTACTAGTACACCAGTTAAACCGTGAAGCAATGACGACCACTTCTCTGTTGACGTGGAAACACAGATGGATGAAGCGTAATGCATCCTGAAGTGATACAGGGTCGTCAATACACGGGATGCTCCTACTTTGGGGATGAAACGTTCGGTATTTCGTCTATTTTGCTGTTTTGCTGTGTACCAGCTAAATTCAATGAAAACGGTCTTGTCCCCACAGTATCGTTCAAGTTGATCAGCGGAACTCAACTTCTTAAGTGTTGACATACGGGAATATCACTAAAATATTTCCAATGTGTCCACGAAAATCGAACATGGGGCAGCGAAATTGGGATTAGCTGACATGATATTCGAGATATCGCAGTATATTTTCATGAAACATGAGGCGGCCTGCATGCAGCACGTTCAGTTGTAGAATATCGTAAACGAGAGATTCAGTTGAGTCTCTCGTGAAAACCAAACTGATTGGCAAATGAGTGTATTTCTCGAAAAAAGTCCAATTTGGGTCTAAGTAGAACATAAGGTTGACAGAAACTCGGGGACTGCGCCTACCTGATGAGGCCCAAGAAGCGCGAAAGCGGTCGTGGGCTGTCAAAGAGTGTTCAGCAACCTTGTGAGTAGTTTCCTTTATGAAATGAGACGTTTTAGTTTGTGAGTTAACATTGTCCAGAAAGATGTAATATTAAGACTCCTGAAAATCATACAGCTAGTATCCACAATTTCGGAAGCAACCTACGAGTGGGGGGGGGGGACAAAAAGACGTATCCATGTTGAGTTCGAAGGTAGGTAGTGTTTTAGAATCCCATCAGTCATACGAATTATATGCTCACTTTCAATCAGGAGCGTCCCATTAGTTTACAGAGGTGATGGTAATGCATCAAACATTTCCGTTTGGCACTTCTTGGAAAGTTAGCCTACCGAAATGAATAGCATGCACGATCTATATTTTCCATCGTTTTGGTTGGTCTCTTTGAAAGGGGGATTGGTGAAACCTTCCGCTCCGTTTGTCTTCCTTTCGGAATTTCCTGTGGTGTGTGCGATTCATGGACTAATCCAACCCCTTGAGATGATGGTGTCTTGTCCTTAACGAGCTCACTGTAATTAGCGAATATACACTCATTTGCAAACTAATTTGGTTTTTTTGATAGACTCACCTGGAACCCAGCCGAATCTCTCGTTTGTGATGTTTCCAGGCAATTGAATATGCAGTACCAGGCCACCTCATGTTTCAGTCGCTACGATATTCGAGATATCACGATGTAAATATTTGTGATATACACGAGGCGGTCTGGTGCAGCGAATTCAGTTGCCTGAGAACATCACAAACGAGAGATTCAGCTGGGTTCGAGGTGAGTCCCCCAAAAAAACCAAATTAGTTTGCAAATGAATGTATATTCGCTAATTTCGTTCAATTTGGTTTCAAGCAGAACATAAGGTTGCCGGGAGCCCGGGGACTGCGCCTATCATGATGACCCCCCAAAAAGGGCGAAACCGGTCTTGGGCTGTCGACGGATTTTCCACAACCTTATGAGTAGCACATTACGAACTCACTGTAACTTGTAGATAATTTGCCAAAACCGTTAAAGGTCGATGTCGCACCGCACCGCGAGTTGTTTTAAGTGGAATACTTGCATTGGTTTTCTTGTATGATGATTAAGATCGGCAAGCTTTCAAAGCCATTCGTTCAGGCAGCTCGAAGTGCTCATTCCATATCCTACATGAAGTCAGCATCCAAATTCATTGAGTAGTGCATCACTTGGAAAGCCAATGCATCTGACTTTACAGGTTCCTTTTCAGATGTGCCTGATACTACTCACGGTTTTCGCTCATTGCAAGAGTAAATTCCAAAGACACCTCCGGTCTGTAT